ATGCTCTCCCAGTGGATGCCAAACACCGTTTTGGTGACAGAGTAGCATTAGCTGTTAAAGTAGCGTAAGGGGAATTTACATTGGACACAGCAATCTCATTTGACATTAACATAACAAAACTCATCCTTTCCAATAATTACCTTTAAGCCTCCTCCTCTCGCCCCTGTAGATGCTTTCTGTGCTTCCTCTTGCCTACGTTCGCATTCCTCTTTCTTCAACTGCTGATGCTTAAATCTCTCAGGATCCTTGATTCCTCTACTTTCTTGCTCTCTCATTCTCCTTTCTGCTGCTTGAATTTGCTGCCTTCTTCTAGTTTCCTGTTAGCATGAAGATGTTTGTAAGGAAATATGTTTTAAGTTAATGGCTAAATAAAACATTTTTTCAAGAAAAACAGATGTTGTGTTCATATTCATGGGGCATCACCATTACTAAATAAAACATTTTTTCAAGAAAAACATGTTGTATTCATATTCATGGGGCATCACCATTAGTTCAAGAAACAGTATAAAAAAAAGAAATTAGATGCATATAAATTGGTTATGCAACCTATTATTGCAAATATATTTTTTAAAAGTTTTCTTGGACTTTATAATTACTGGAATACGTATTACCATATCTGGAGTTACTAAATCGGTTGAAGAGACTTTAAAACACGGGAAACACATTCCCATATTTGTTAACACAATTTCTTTAGCAAGAATTACAATCTCACTTCAAAACGTAGTCGCAATCCAAAATATACGTCAATTATGTCATATACGCATTTTAATTGTCACTTGTCTTACAAGCAACCGTTCCAATTTTCCGATCTCCACATAGATTACACTTTGCAATCTCCAAGCATTATACAATGTAAATAAATGCAATAGTTAAATTAGTAATTTAATACTTTGTTGTTAACAAGTAATAGAGGTGCTGAATGTGGCCCTTTATGTTTATGCATTAAATTAATTTTTTTCTGCAACGCATGATCTCAAATTTGAGAAGATCGAAATCAACACATGAATTACGTAGTCTCATCTACAGTCATTAGGAAGGGTAAATCTTTTCTGCTGTAAGATGCTGTCGAGGTTTGCATTTCGTTCTGGTAAATACCATATATTTATTAAATACATCTTTAATAACCTCTTGTACATATAAGAATCATTTGACAACCACTTTAATAAACTATCAGCCGTTGTACTATGTAAAGTTGATACGCTCTATGTGGAAGCCCGGGCCATCAAGGTCTTTTTGAGACTTTTTTTAATGTGGGTAAAATTTTGGAAAGCAAATTTAAGAATGGGAAGTGTAGCTGTTTGTTAAGTATATAAACGGAGTACAATATATTTTATTCGATTATCGGTCTGGATATGTGCTTTATAATTTAAAATATCTGATCATTTCTGCATATTTTTGGTTTCAGTTCAGTACAGCAGACCCCTTATGGGTGTGCGTTGCAGTCAGACTGTCGCAGCATCCGGCGAGAGGGCTGTCACAGCATCCGAGGAGAGGGATGAAGTGAGATTTCCTCGTCCTGTGAGAGCTGAATTTCCAGACAAAGTCCGTCATGGTTTTATTCCAGAGGAGTGGTTTCAGTTTTTCTATAAGAAAACTGGTGTCACAGGTCAGGCAATTTCCGGACATCTTTTGTGCTGCATATTTGTATAAACAGGCTGGTTTTGAAATAAGTCATTTGTTTTCTTGTATAGGTCCATACACCTTTGGTGTGGGGCTTGCAACATACTTCATCAGTAAGGAGATCTATGTGCTGGAACACGAATTTTACAATGGTATCTCCCTTTTTATCATGGCTGTATTTGCTGTGAAGAAATTTGGACCCAAGGTAGCAGCTTACCTTGACAAGGAGGTTGATGTAAGAATCTTTGTTCTGAATTGTTCATATTTTTCAAAATATTTTAACATGACAAAATCAAAATGTTAATTTCAGCCTTCTGGCTGTAACACGTCAGATTGTTTCTTACCTGTACTGGCTGTCATCTTTACCATCTACACTCGCAGAGGCCGTAAATGTAGAGACCATTGGAGAGGGGGGAAGCTTTAAATATAGGGACAGAAAGAGAATGGGATGTGTCTTGCAGATGCTACAAGTAGCTAACAGGGATGGTGGTTTGGCAGAGTAGTACAAGTTGTGCAATGCTGAAGGAACTGATAGACATATTTGAAAATTGTAATTGTACTGTATTTTTCTCTATGATGTTTAATTTTTATACTGTTTGCAGGAAGTTGCGAACTCATGGAAACATGAGCGTGAGGATGAAATTACATCATTAGGTGACACTGTGGTGGCAGAGAAGAAAGAGCAGTGGCGTGCAGAAGGACAGAAGGATTTGTTTGCTGCCAAGAGGGAGAATGTTGCACTTCAGCTTGAAGCAGCTTACAGAGAAAGGCTCACGATCGCCTTCAATGAAGTACGTTACAGTAGGAACTGTAAGGTGGTGGGGATTTAGCAGATAGTCACCAGAACTTGCAGTGTAGATGTATGGAAACGATTGCTTTAATTTTTGATGTAGCATTTCACAGTTGAAGTATCTGGGAGAAAAAAATATAATATTCATGAGATTCCTGGTTAAATTAGGGTAATTATTATTCAGTTTAAAATCATTATGCCATCTACTTCAAAAGTAACTGAATATTACGGTCAAGTGGTTATTACCTATGCATCATACTTGGGAGGTCTTATGCCAAAATCTCATTCTGGAGACTGACTGATCTAAGGTTTTCCTGAGTAGCTTGAGACATACGCCAGGATAATGTCTTAATTGAGACTACAGCCACTTCTTTCCAGTTCATTCATCAACCATCCCATCATTCAGCACTATACAGTATGAGGTACTGACAGTGTCATTAAATAAACAAAAAATCCAAAACATTGAATTTTTATAAATGTAAGTCATTTTGTCAGTTTTGTATGCTTATGAAATAGCGGTCTCTCTCTTTGAGGATGGGGCATAACCTCCTTAGGAAACATCAGAACTGAAGTGAGACAAAGGAAAAATGGACATTATTTAACAAGGAACTCAAAGATTTACACAGCTCACCTTGTTTTGGGAAACCAAGAATCAAATGATGGACTGGGTATATAACTTGGATGTGGGAAGCAAGAGGGTCAACATGGTGATGAACCTTCAGGTTCCATAAAGAAAGTGGGCTATTCTATGTTGGGGAAGTATTTGCAAGAATGTTAAGTTTACTGAACTGGTGGACTGATTTGCAGGTGAAACGACGATTGGATTACCAGGTGGAGCGTCAGAACATTGACCGGCGCATCGCGCATAAACACATGGTGACATGGGTTATACAAAATGTGCTCAAGTCAATCTCGCCCCAGCAAGAGAAAGAATCTCTTGCCAAGTGCATCGTTGATCTACGTGGACTGGCCAAGGCGTAGATGCAGACAGCATTTAGAGGAAGTGATGGCAACACTGTAAATAGTACCATGATTATGTGAAGCACCAGGATGCAAAACTACATTATAGTTAAAATGTTTCAGAAAATGTTTCGATGTGTCTCATTTTTGTTGACTTTATTTGTATTTATCAGTACTGAAGTTACTACAAGTCATCAAAATTATTTGTATGGCATTTTCTCAATAAAGAGGTGATGTTATGTATCATATTGCTTCATTTTATGTTGTTTATCTTAAGAATAATGTATTATGGTGGGATAAAATTCAGAATATGGTGCTCATCACACTACATTTCAGGCTAATTTTAACTCAGAGGTCTGTTGAATTTTTTGGGTATATGAATGTACCTTTTCTTTCATTTCTATGACTTTTATCAATCAAGCACTATTTTGAAAAATGGCAGAAATAAAAATAAATTTTTATATCTTAAATACAGCAGTGTACAGTTTTTGGGAATTTCTGAAGAGAGATGTACTTAAAATTTAAGCTATTATTTCCCAAACCAATGAATTTACATTCAGGAAACTTTGTATGAAAGTAACTAAATGCTTACTGGTAACAAAACTTCATTATGAAATGGGATGCACTTGTGCACCCTTATTCAACTAGCCATTTGTACTCATCTGAACAGACATCAGAAGTGTCTTAAGGACTCATCACTAAATAATATCGGAATGATCAAATCAAGGTTCCGCTGATCCAAATAGTAATCTGTGAAAGAAGAAGAAGAATAAATCAAGGATGAGATGGGCATGATGAGGCATGTACCACACAGAAAATATGGGTAGTACAAGACGTTGGTTAGAAATCCCAAAGGAAAATAAACACTTGGGAGACCTGGATGTATATGGGATGATAATATTAAATTGGATCTTCAAGGAACAGGTATTCATTTGGCTCAGGATACAGACCAGTGGTGGGCTAGTGAGAACAGGAACGAATCTTCGGGTTTCATAAGGTGGTAAAAATGACAAGCAGAATGACTATTAGCTTTTCAAGTGTTTTATGTCTGGGATGAAGGGGAAAAGGCCGGGTGAAATTTTCTTTTACTAATTATTAATTCTACTAAGAGAGAACCTGGTTTATCAGATGCACCACTTTCAACATGTGAGATCTGCTAATACAGACATCAAAATTTGGGAAGTACATGGCAATAATCATAACAGTGAATTAAAATGTGTATAATTATATAGTATATAACATACAAACTTCATGTAACACTGGGTTATTTCCCCCCCTCATAACTTTTCTTGTTGGGATAATTCTCCATAAACCTTATATGACTGCAAATTTTAAGAAATAAGTTATTTGGTGTTTTGTTTTCTTTGCCATTATATATATGCTATTATTCATTTACATATACATTACACAGCAGTTTAAATTTATTTCAAAAGCAATTGCACACTTCTCATAAAACTATTGTCACTGCAATTTATTTCTTTACAAATTTGGTTTGTAAAAAATTAATGCCTGTAAATTGTGAAATACAATAAAATATTACACCTTTTTCTTTAACAATTTCCAGTGGAAGACACTAAATTATTTGTAATAACTTAAAATTTTTTATATCTTCATTCATTTCACTGTAAAACATATTTGTCAAGTTAAAATCTTGCATTTTTCCTGGTAAGATTAATTTTGTTCCCACAGCAAACAATATATATATATATATATATACAATAATTTTTTGTGAAACCTTGTTTTGTGTATTGAAAATAATTCTTGGGCTATGAACAACAAATTTTTGGTAGTGCAAGCTGAAATTCTGTAAAACTATCACTGGGTTACAGTTAGCATGAAGATCAACTGACATACTGAGATGGAAGCATTCTAAGGGAAGCTGACATTGCAAGTTCCTGCCATGGAAAAACAGCCCCACAGATACCACAATAAAATCTTCTTGGGCAATCAGCTGTGTCAATTTGTTGCACAAAGAGATCAATGTTTTGGGAACCATCTCTATCCAAAACATCAGGATTCTGACCAGATCATGTTCATGTATTTGTTAGTTTAAACTGTGAGTGTTTTTCAATGAAAGGAAATAAGATTTCAATATGTCACATCATGGGAGAAATTGCTGACTTGCATTAAAACACGAGACGAGCCTCATCCACACACGTTATACTTTAGTGGGAAGTTAGTTACTGACAATGGCTAAATCATACTTATGGCATCTTTGTGACAATTATGAACTTTAGCTATGGGCTGAAGTAAAGCACTGGTGAGCAAATGTTAAATGTATGATGACTTATGTTTGTCACACACAAGCATGTACATAGCATATATATATGTATATATATATATATATATATATATGTTCAAAACAAACCAAATTTTGTGAATTCTTAGACAGAGTATTCCAAAATTTACAAGATGGAAATTTTTAATCTAAGTAATTCCACCATCATAAGCATGTAGTGGCCTGGCATTTTAGTGCCTGTATGACAATTCCAAAATGAATATCATAAGTTTATTTTAATTTAAAATTTCTCAATAAATCGACTTACACTCAATGAGAAGTCATTTTATTTAGTATTGCTCATCAGTTTTCATTTATCATCTTGCATTCTTAGGAATGAACATCTGAAGACCACTAAGAGCACAAACATCTGTACAAAATTATTATAATGCTACAGCCTAAAAGGGCCACACATACCATTAGCTATGTTAATAAAAAACCTCTATTATAACCAAAAATAAAGTTATAATAAAATATTTTCAGATCTGATAAGAAGGTAAATAACCGATAACAATCTAACATTAAAAATAGGCCCAAATTCTTATTTAACAGGCATTTTGTTATTGTTTTAATGATCTGTTAATGAGGTAAACCAAATATTCTTTGTGTATTTAAAGGAACAAAAATACAGTATAACAAGTCCAAATAGCATATTCATTAATCTTGACCAGAACAGCAATAAAATTCTTAATAATATATTGTGACAAATATTAAATCACCTCCTTTTGGAACTGTTTATATTACATATCAAAAAATATAAGCTTTAGGCAACTGCATAAATTTATTCCATAAACAACAGTTCTATCAAAGTACTGCACCATAAAAGCACAGATCACAGGAACACAATTATGGATAAAGTTTGTTCAGAGAGGAAGTCAATGCAGTGACCGACATAAATTTCTCTATATTGTTCTATGTGGTATTCATTACTACTGGTCACTTTCTATGGCCACAATTATAACCTCCCAAAATAAGTTACAGGTGTTATGTGAATGAACTAATACCAAGATTAAATATACAACCACATCTAGGTACTATGCATCAAAAAATTATACACCAAATATAACTGTCATATGCATTAATGTAATGTAAAAAATATGTTCAACAAAATTAAATTGCATTGTCATAACAATAAAATGTGCCTATGTTGATGTTAATACCAATATGCAAACTTATTAAAATCACCATGACACCACTTTTCTCTGTTACGCACTGAAACACAGAGCAAGATATGGAAAAAGGGACTGTTCATGATGCCAGTTTGCTGTTTGTGCCAAAATGCCAAATCAGGGATTCTCTGTAACATAGCCGTCTCAAGTAAAAATAACGTTACTATTCCATTACACGAGTTACCAGAAGCAAGAAATATTTTACTTAGCACATACGAAAATAATGTTTATCTCTTACAAATACCACACCAGACAATTTCTTCAATATCTCCGTGCAAAAATGCCATTTATAATGTCAAAGTTAGAGGAAAAATAAAATGCATAAAACATGCAGTGTTAATATCTATTACATCCCAGTTACAACTGTCAGGATATCATTCCTCGTTAAGAAACACAATACTGCCATTGCATATAAAATCTTGTTTCACACAAAAGTGTGTTTAGTTACAAATTGTGCACTTTAAATAACAACCTCCAGTTCAAAACACTTACACAGAAAATACAAGTGTTCAGAATCTTAAATAATTTCCAAGCTCTGGATTGTGGTCTTCTGGGATGATGATGTAGTCATGTAGGTAAAACACCGTTTCATATACTACACCAGCACAACAAAAGTTGTTGCTATGTGAAATGAATGTTTGCATTTTGAAGGAACCTGAAGTATCATAAACCAAAAAATAATGATCAGAATTTTCACCATCATTTAAACTCTCATATTTTGCTAGCTGTTTAAATTTACTTCAATTGTAGAAACCATTTTGTAATGCAGTACATCTCACGACTCGGTAAATAAATGAACAAGTGTGTAGAAACCATTTTGTAATGCAGTACACCTCACGACTCAGTAAATAAATGAACAAGTAGAATGAACAGGTTTTGAACCTTAGGGTTCTGTTACCCAAAATCTGACGTTTCTTAAGTGACTAAGCATACTTTCGTTCATCCAGTGATCCTCCCTTGATGCAGTCGTGTACATTCCACCAAAACTTTGCAATCTTATTGTGAACTGTATTTACTCAAAATTTCCCTAAACTTATCCTTAAATTCCTGATGTTCTGGAACTGTTTGAACAAGTCAATATTCTGTCCATAATATTACACAGACATAAGCATTTGTATCTACCACCCTTTTTCATCAACAAAAGTGGACTTTTCTAAGTGAAGATATTTTTCAGTTCTTTTGGAAAACAGATTTGGATGACACTTTTGGCAAAAGTGAGAGTCCCTAGGAATGTGGTTCTTCTGGAAACAAACATGAAATCACTGAGAAAAACCATCCAGCATGGTGAAAACAACACAGAGCCTACCTATGTACCAGCAAAAGAACAATAACACCTCATGAAACATTGGGATTATGTAGCATCAGTTACTTATTCAAAAATTACGGGAGATGATGAAGTACAAACATTCCATACTTAAAATAACCACTGGCAAATGAAATACCAATTTGAATCCAAGGGAATATACAGGAAATTCCCCATCTCCTCACAGTGGCATAATTTCAGAGTAACTGTAATTACGCTATGGTTTCACTAAACATAAACTCCCACGAAAATTTCCTTCTGCCATATTTCTTTGCAAGAAATATTTAAATGTAAGGCTGCTTCTCTGCTATTATTAGTAAACTACTAATGAGGATAAAATATGAATGTGAAGGGTCAATGGGACCAAATAAAGTCGATCATCATTCACAGCTTCACAAACACAGAAATTGACATAACTTTGTTTTCAAATGTTACATCATCATAACTCTGACAGAACAAAGTGAGTAGGCAGTGTGAGGGTACATTTCTAAACGACACTGTACATTCTCATCTTGTAAAACTTTGGCAGTCTATGCTGATGAATGGACTGTTCTGCTCAGAACGGTATGTGGATCGTTGTACAAATCCGAGTTCCTTAGAGTGTGAACAAACAGTAACATGAAACACGCATGCAAAAGTACACAATATACACACTCATACAGAGCTGCCAACAACGGTATTAAATATCTCTAAAGCTTGTCCACTCCAGTTTATCATGAGACATTGCAACACAAAATAACTGCTTCTAAGTCAGTTATTTCTACGTTAAATCTGAAGGTTGTGGCAAGCCTGCAATTACATGTCATTACAGGGACCTTGGAAGTGTGAGCCCTTTTATGCATTATCATTGCTTGCATATCACTAACATTAACAAATGCAGGTATGTATTAGTTTAACAAAATACCAGAGAACCCCACAACATTAATCTGGTTACTGAAAAAAAAATACATAGAGAAATTGCAATGTAATCTTCATAAGCTTTTCCTGTTTTTACGTACGGTCTTCGAATGTTACTGACAGCTGCCTCTGAAAGCTGTGAAAACATCCACTTATGACAGGACAAAGTGCTCACAGGACAGAATCATGTTTACTCACGACAAAACAGAAGGGACCTTGAGTTTAATGCCAGCTCAAATCCACTGCAATGGAGGAGGGTTTGTGTTCAGCACGGCAGAATTTTTTATTTAATTTTTTAAGAGACATAAAACTTGAGAAAGGAATGAACACCTTCCCCATATTCAGGGATTTCAAATTTTAGTGCCTTATATCATTTTAAATCTCTGATGATGACTTAAATATTATAATATGAAATGGGGCTCAAATGTTAGTCTGGAAATAGTTACACACTCCAGAAGAAAAAACTAAGAAGGGAATTCATTGTTTCATAAACATGTGAAACACAAATGCAGAATCAACACAGAAATATAGAACAAAATATCAGCCATAGTCTATCCTAATATTGTATGAATTTCACATTTGTAACTTCATAACTCAGTCACAAGTAAATACCTT